GTTCTGTGATTAACAGAACTGGTGTGAGGGAGGCCAGAGATGCTGCCTTTGAAACGGGCTGCTCCAGTGACTGTTCTCCACATGAAGGCTGATCATTCTTATGATAAGATCTTGACAAATAGTTGTTGATTTATTGCTATGGACATCTGTGTCTTGAGAACATGATTTAGGTCAAAGACTCTTTCTTTATGGTTACTTGTGTTCAGAGAGGAACACAGTTTCCAGGTGTAGCCTAAATATAGCTTCAACTCTATGCACTGAAACATGGAACCAGTCACTGCTCAACTTCCTTACAATGTTATTTCTTCGCATTCCATTCATCTGCTTGCTAATACGTATGCATTATAGAAACATTCCAAAACCGACCGGGTGGATGCACATGTGTGAGATGTAACAGTGATGGAAGTGGTGGTGTGAGAAGCCATGAAGGGAAGAGTGTCTTGGTGACCCAGCGTTATGTATGTTTTGAACTGCAGAGGAATTACGTTGATACAAGAGTATTTCAAGAATGTCATGGAAAGTGCAACTAAATGTTTTATGTGGGTGCAAGAACATTTAGTGTAGCAGTTGTTAAGAGGATTTAATTATATCTGGGTGGTTTATAGTGATGACTAGCATCGACAGGGTGCCAATCAGAGCTGCTGGGATTGGAAATCTATTGTGTTTGCGGTAAAAAGCAAGAGGAGACAGAGTAAATATGGACTCAGAGTTACAATGTTAACATACCTGCAGAACTATTAGCTTATCAAACAAAAAATTCCGACCTATTCTCTTTTGTAATGATATCTAGTGGTTTCCTGATAAGCACAACTCCAAAGTTTGGTACCAAATCAAAAAGACATTTATTCTTTTTCAAACAACTTCAACACATGCCAAATTCAACAGGTGAGCCATATATGAAATAAACTAGGATTTCTGGCAAAGACACTGGGAAAAGTCAAGCTGAACTAATGTGCAGTTACTAAAGAGTTATGAAACATAAAATGCTACCCTGAAATGTCCCCATAAGACTTTAATTCTTTAAGGTACAATTACATGTCCACGTGTCTTCCCAAAGATTGATTACAAAATAAGTACTCCATAATCCAGGGCCTTTCTTCTTCACTTGAGTTGGACATTAGCACCTGACCTCCATTAGTTGTCAACAGGAAAGTTTGGCAGAATGGGTTGAATTCTCAAAAGATTCAGCTCCAAATAATGTTATCAATGAAATCCCATTGATCTTCTCTAATCAATACCAACTTACAGGCCTCTGAATAAAGGCTCCAGTTTTATAAACTGGTCATGAGGATGTCTGGGTGGAGTACACATTTTTGCCCAAATAAAAGTGTCACAATTAATCACAACGAATAGGGCTGCTCCTTGTTTAGGCAGTTCTAGCCTCAGTTTTATATTCGCTGTGGATGGACTGTAGTTGGATAGCTTCTTTCTCACTCCTTTTCTCTTCTAGGCGGTCAAGATTTGTGCCAATGTTCATTTTCTATAAAAAAGTTACGTGACCCAAGAGAGTCTTTGGTCATCTGAAAATATTGGCATTGAGGATATACTGTGGACGGTATAGCAATAAAGACTTGCAATAAAGACTTGGCCAGTTAATATTTCCAAATTGAGGAAGATTCTCTGCTATGTTCCTGGCTTCGACTGGCTGAGAACATGCCCTCTGCACCCTCTCTTCCTACCTGACTATTCCAGTGGAAGACTCCAGAGAAACTGCAAAGAGCCTCCCTGATGCCTCCAGTCATGCCAGGGGACTCCCAAAATTACTCAGTCTACAATATTTCTTCAGAAAAGAGGAGCCCCAGCACTTTCTCTTGTCCTGATTCAGGAAAGTTCTCTCTCTAATACGCGGTGCATCTAGATCCCAGAAGCTGCAGGGGAGCTCATTATGGCCCTAGCAGTCCAGTATCTACAAAGGATGAGTGACCAAACCCAATTAGCACAGAGTCTCATTGAATGACAAGGAGCAACTTCAAACTTTGGCAGGATTCACTTGCCAATCTGAGAAACTCTTGCCCATTGCATTATTTTGGAGGATTAGTCTCTCGTTGATTACAAGAGAGTTTAAGGATATAGATAATCTGAGGGTAAGTTTGGGCAAGAAGTCATATGTGCTATCCGACTATCATTAAATAGAGTGAAATAGTAACAAAAGTGTGACTATGGAGAACTGAAGGGAAAACTGAAACTTAGGTTTATTTTCATCGAGCAGTTAAGTCTCTGGCCTCCTTCCTACCTAAACATTCTCAGGCACTGATTCAAAGCAAATGTCACTCTGCAGTTCTCTTTTGCTCAGCCACAACCTTCAGATGCTAAATAAGTACCCTAGGGAAAGTCCTGGAAAATTTAGAGTTGATTGTATGTGTTTCTTTTTATTGAAGATCTTGACTTACTGATAATTTTCTTTTAATGCACTTGAATTAGTGGATTTTCTAATTTTTGTTTCATACTAAAGATATCAGCAGGGGCTGGCACTGTGGCACAGTGTACTAAACCACTGCCTACAACACGTGTGGCATCCCATATGAGCACCAGTGAGAGTCCCGGCTGTTCTACTTCCAATCCAGCTCCTTGCAGAAGGTGGCTCAAATACTTGGGTCCCTGCCACACATGTGGCAGCCATGGAGTTTCAGACTTTTGGCTTTGGCCTGGCTGTGACTCAGCCATTTGAGGAATGAACCAGCTGACAGAAGATTGATCTTTCTCTAACTCTACCTTTTAAATAAAATTAAAAAAAAATTTTTAAAAAGAGACACCAGCAGAGGTAACATAAATGTAACCTAACCTTCCTATGTACTGTTACTGTACAGTGTGTAGATCTTATAATTTTAAAATTTTTTAGGCAGCAGAGTCACGGCATGCATACACATGTGTCTGTGTAAATGTATATGTATATAACCTAGTCACTATTTAGAAGGTACTGTAAACGAATGGTGTTCTACCCTTGAACACAATATGAGGCGGAGGGAGGAAATAAAATGAAAACAAGCACTTATTTCCATTTTTTAAACCTTCAAGTAGTCAGAATACTCATGTGCAAACAAAAAGGCAAATTTTACTGAAGCTCATTATCTGCTTTGTTCATACCCTAAAAGCATTATGGGAGAAGTCGCACCTTTGTCACACTGAGTGAAAGAAAAACAGCTGTGAGAGTCGGCGGACACATTGTCCGACGGAAGGAAATCCAGTTACCGACTGCATCTGGGTTCATTCTGGGCTCCTGGAACGGATGGCGCGTCGGCATGTCTTCTGAGACTCGTGCCTGGCATGTTATTACAGCTGTGTATCATCAGAGAGAAAATAATTGGTTTTCCTTGGTGTATCTCTAAGTTGATGTCATATTCAATAACCCTGTAGTTGAAAAATCTATATATGATGGATGAAGTTTGGACTATCTTTTGAATTTAATTCCTCCGGTGCCAGTTTCTACAGGCCACGGTGCACCTGTCACTTTAAGGTGAGCACATGCAGCGTTCAGAAAATGCAACCAGAGTGCTGCTTTTGCCAGATAATGAACTGCGGAACAATTTGTCTCGCGTGTGCAACGGCCTCACTCTTCACCCTTCACTACGCCGTGGAGGGGCCAGGGTAAACTTGGAACCCCACGCTGGGGTCAGCGCCGAGGCGCTGCCTGCGTCAATGCTGTGTCTCAGAGTGAGGACGGCGACTTTTCTTTCTCTGGATTTGAGGGTTTCAGAGACAGCCTTCAACACGCAGCCTTCTAAGGTAGGTTCCAGGCACACTGCCAACACATCTTCACCAAGAACTCTTCCTGATGAGAGTGAGGTATGACTTCTGCGCACACCGACGATGACCCAAAGCAGAAGAACCTTCAGAGCTTTGTCTCTGCTACAGTTAAAGGAAAAGCTGGGCTAGACGCCTTTGTGGGGTAACCGGATGTTTCCAGGTTAACAGAAACTTCTTTCCCCTCCCTCTTTCCCCTCCCTAGGAGCCAGCTGTTTTGTTCATCTTCCATCAATGCATCCACACTGGGACACGAAAGTCTAGGTCAGACCATCCGGGGTTAGAAGTCTGGATGCCCTGATTTCTTCTTCTTCTTCCTTTTTTTTTTTTTTAAAGATTTATTTATTTATTTTTTTGACATGCAGAGCTGGACAGTAAGAGGTAGAGAGACAGAGAGAAAGGCCTTCCTTCCATTGGTTCACCCCCAAAATGGCCGCTATGGCCGGAGTTACACTGATCTGAAGCCAGGAGCAAGGTGCTTCCTCCTGGTCTCCCATGCGGGTGCAGGGCCCAAGCACTTGGGCCATCCTCCACTGCACTCCCGGGCCACAGCAGAGAGCTGGACTGGAAGAGGAGCAACTGGGACTAGAAACCAGCACTCATATGGGATTCCAGTGCTGCAGGCGGAGGATTAGCCAAGTGAGCCATGGCACTGGCCCCTGGATGCCTGATTTCATCAGCATTACAGGGCTGGCCTTGGGGCTGACCTTAGGATGTGGACTCTGCTAAGGGGCTTAGAGCTGGGTCTCGGGGCTCAAAGCTGCACCTGGGCTGGGCGATTTGGCTTGGTATGGAACTTTTTGACTACAACACACCTGGCCTCCAGCTAGAAGTGACAAGTCCAAACTTTCAAAGCCAGATTTGTGATCTATGAGATGCAAATCAATTTGTGTTCTGGAACGCAGTCTTATGTCTGACAACCAATGACAACCAACTGATGATATGGATGACATGGTTACAGAAAAGCAAAATTCCCGTTAGTTCGTATTCCACCAATCTGAAATCTAAGTAACATAATCTCGATGAATTCAACCTCACTTCTGACCAGAAGGCAAAGGTGTTCAAACTGTTAACAGGCTGGAGGTGAATCCCACCCCGCCCCAACCCTCACACACGCTCCAACCCTTCCTCCCCCTCTCTTTTGGATTCCCACTCTTAATTTATTTGTTGAACTCTTACAGTAGGGTTAACGATACGATCATTAAGTATACTGAGCGAATTATTTGAGAGAACAGATGAAGAAAACAGAATTTCCTTACCTATTAGCAGGGCTTCTTTTTCTGATTTCAAGCCTTGGCTTCTTTTCTCAATATTGTTCTCTCGGTCTTGATTGACCAATGCTACTGTCAACACGTTAATTTCCTGTAAAGTTAAAAGACAAAAACCATACACGTGTTTATGCAGATTCTGTGCACTTCAGTAAAAACTGCCAGCTCCCTTCAAATCTATAAAGGGACCATTTCCCTTTATAACTGAACATCAAATCTGATATATAGTTGGTATACCTGTTCAACAGTAGAAAAACAATTCTAAAACCTAGACTTCTAGCTTCTGCTCCCAGCAAACCTAGTTCCTTTCTGCACAAGTGGAAAACGTCGTACAAGTCACCTTAGTTTGGCTATGTTTTGGTTAAACACTGCTCACTAAAACTCTATTTGGCTGTAGCTATTTTAGCAAGTTTTATTTCAAATATAAAATTTTTTCTCAGAAAGCAGACTGACTTAAAATACTATGCTAGTAATTTGTGTGAGTGCGTGGACCCACTGGGAAAGAAGCTGAGAAAAAAGTATTAGGGATGGGGGCGGGGTCGGTACTGTGGCACAGCCAGTAAAGTCCCATTCTGCAGCACCAGCATCCCATATAGGCGCTGGTTCAAGTCCCGGCTGCTCCACTTCCGATCCAGCTCTCTGCTACGGCCTGGGAAAGCAGCAGAAGATGGCCCAAGTCCTTGCACTCCTGCACCCACATGGAAGACCTGGAAGAAGCTCCTGGCTTCAGATCAGCGCAGCTCCAGTTGTTGCAGCCATTTGGGGAGTGAACTAGCAGACAGATCTCTCTCTCTTTCCCTTTCTCTGTGTGTAACTGTGACTTTCAAGTAGAATAAATAAATCTTAAAAAAAAGCATTAGGGATGTTCAAGTTGAGTGGATCTGGAACCTCACGTACAACTGAAATAGGCAAACAAAGCAAAGGTTGGGAAACTCTTTTCTTTGGAAACTAAAAATGAAGTATTGTACAACAAGGCAATAACACCTAAAACACTGAAGGTGGAGTACTTTTAGTTGTATGAACTTTTTAATTTGAAAATTAAGATTTCATTCATATCCTCCCAGACTTACTATAAGGACTCAAAATGGAGAGTGAGTGAACAGCAAGTCAAATGATCTGGATATCCAATCCCCACACAAGGGATGCCACAGGTGGGATCCCCACACAAGGGAGAGCTGACTTATGAGGAAGTTGAGTCTCACGGGCAGGACAATGATTTCAAAGGACCAGCATACTGAACTGTGAGTTAGGGGTGCTGCTTCATTACTCGGTGGGGAATCTCTAGGAATGATGGCTGGGTAGGTTGGGATGGCCAAATGGACATAGGAGAACTTTGGTGGTCTGGACAGATGGTATCACAGGTATTATCACCCATAGGACTGGAAGCAGTTTCAGAATACATGTTTAACCAGTGAATACCACTGAACAAAACTGGCCAGATACAAGGCTATAGAAACTTTGGGGAGCATAAGCATGCAAACACACAAATCCCATTTGAAGGTACTGAAAAAAAAAAAAAAAACCTCAGCACATACCAATTAAAATATATCTATGAGTCTAGCTGAACTTTTAAAGCTGCTGTTTTATAGGTCAGAGGTTACTAGAAATTACTAGTTACTACGAAAGAAGACTCAATTGTGAAACTGTGGTTGGTCCTATCTGGTGAGCATTTTGGAGGCTCAACTCACCTGCTGAGGACTGAGTGAGCAAGATTGGGTGAGAGAAAAGGATGAGTAAAGTAAAAGAATTGAGGCAGCACAGCGATGCTGTGACAGCGCACAGGGCAGATCCTGCCTGACTAGGGGATATCAGCCGACGCCTGGGACTGACAGTAGGACGTCCCTTTGAGGACAGGGTCCAAATGGATTTAGAGAACGGGCTAAACATTGCAGCCTCAAGAGGCCACAGGAGATGAAAGGTGCTCTGATACTTCCAACAAGAAGGGATCCTGGGAGCCAGCCCCAGTGGAAACCCAGTGAAGAACTTTAAAATGGAACAGATCCAAAGGTATACGCAGATGGGATTAGGACACTTTATAGAGATACAAGGAGGGGGATCGAAATTCCTTCTGTGATGAAATAACATATGGAATTTTTTGATGAGCTTGTCTCAGAGCAGAGGAGAAGTGTGTGTACACTTCATCTCTCTGGGCTGGCAGGGTCAAGCAGCCTGCCGAGTCCCACCTGTGGCATGCCCTGAAGGCACACAGCCCCCGCAGGGACACAGCGCAGGCCTTCCATGTCTGAGCGGAGTGCAGGCGGAGGCTCTGCAACTGTCTCCCAAGAGAGGTTTAGGGGAAAAAGCATGGAAGAACATTAACTAGGATGATGATTGCATCACTAAAAAAATACCAGTAATGAACCTCTGAGCTAAGTGGAAATAATATCTCCAGGAGAGGGTGATCTGTTCACAGCCTGGATGATAATTGGAGTCAAATGAAATTACTCACAAGGGTTTAACAGACAACAGGCCTGCGTTAATTGCTAAGACTGAGTGGTGTCCTGGGGCTACCACATGGTTGGGGGTCCAGGTTTAGTGAGGGAAGCGGACTACAGAGAGCAGGCAGCATCGGGATTGGCAAGCGGGGAAGGGACTGAGATGACCCAAGAGTGCTGGTCGTTACCTGTCCCTGTGTCTAAAGCTGGAGTCGTGAAGAAGGGAGACTTTCAACCGGGTCCCACAAATACTACTGAACCAGCAGTGTCTTCAAGGACTCAGACACAGCCTCCCTAGTAACTCCTGCTACAGTAATGTTTTAGGGTTGGGCAAATGAAGACGGAACCATATGGAAGTCCTAGAACCAACCACCTTCTAAGGAAACAGACCTTGAGATTGGACACTGTGGCTTATGCTGTGTCACCCACAAACGAGGTGCTCTTGCAGTCTTCAGCAGGAACTGTGGGGTGGACACGCTGCTCGAGACAGCTCCCACACAGTCCAGAGGGCCGAGACTCAGGAGCCGTGCCAGGCCTTGGGTACTTCTGTACTCAGTGAGTCCTGTCAAGGCTGCAGATGAGGCCGTTTTCCTAACTCTTCCAGGAAGAGAACCATGAACTGAGAGCTATGCTGGGAAGTGGCACAGGAGCCAATGAGAGGATCACGTGGGCTCCAAGGAGCACTTGCATTGCATGATAAAGGGGACTCAAGGATCTCCAGGAGGGAAGGTATCATTCCCCTACAGCCAAAGGTGCGCCCAACACTAACCAGAGACTTACATCTACAATATCATCTAGTGAAGTGGGTCCCAGTGCAGACAAAAAGAGATATTTAAGAAGTGGAACTTAAAAAAAAAAACCACAAATCTGCTGATGCGGTGAATGAGATAAACATTGGGAATGAGTAGGTACCTTGGTGAATTCGGAGACAAAGAAGGAAGCAAGCTTGGGAGACAATGATGTGTTCAGTTTTAGAAATGCTGAACCCGAGGTTTCCATGGCATCTTGTCATGGTACAGGGAGGGAGGTGGGAAGTAGAGGTTTGGGAGCTTAGAAGCCAGGCCTTGCCCTGACAGCTCTTTTTCTAGGGGTGTGTCTTGGGTCTGTGTGTGCAGCAAGCAACTTTGACGTTTGCTTGTGGGCCAAAGAGCAGGCTTGCTTATGTTTGATATAAAAAGGGTAGATTCCCCAAGCTCAGTGCTCCTCTCCTGGAACACAACTCCCTGCCATGTACAGGCTCGGATTGTAAGATCTACGAGCACAAATCCGGTGAAGCCAGGAAGGGTGGCAGCATGTGACAAAAATTCAAGGGGACACTGGCCAGAACCCTTCTAGGAATAACTTTTTATTCGAGGGACTTCTTGACCTTGATGGCAAACACACAGCGGGAGCAGCTCTTTAAACCTTAATTTTTCTGTCATGTAAAACACAGATACTACCATGTGCCTACCCACTGGGGTTGCTGTGAGGACCAAATCTGACAACTGGAAACTCTAGGCATATGTTGGGGTACCATGAGTATTCACTTCTATTAATTACAGAACTGGCTAGATTCAGAGCAGGCGCTGGATACACACTTGGGGTCTGTCTACAGTCATATAAAGATACTTATGCAAAACTGATCATGTGGTTGTAGCCAAATTATGAGTATTTTCCATTTTCCTGGTTTTCTATGCCAATGTTCTTGTACTGCTTTCCTTATAATTAAGAAAAGAAATAAAACTAATGACATGCAGGTGTCATTTTGAAGGAATGTACGGAAGCAGAGCCAGACCATGAACACGTCACTAAGGAATATACTAAGTAACACCCTCTGCCTTATCACGCTTCCCCTAAATAGGAGACTGGCACAGTGTCACTCCCCATTGGCCCTTCAAGGTCTGGTGGGCTGCAGGGGGCTGACAAGATCTACACGGCAAACATTTGCCAGGTCACCTCCCACTTCTGCAACACCACACACGACATGGCTAGCATTCCTTCTCGGCCTTCTTTGTCCCCTGGTCTGGTCTTGCTGTTTGCCCACAGTCCCTATTCTTAAACATCACACTTCACAGAATTGGGGGTGCTGTAGATCAGAGTTAAGATGCTGATCAGCTACTCCCTCAGCTCTTGCTCACATGTTTGAAAAGTACTAAAAGCAGTGCATCCAGCAACATGCCAGTCTCCAATAACCTTCAAGCGATTCTTCATGGAGTCTGAACTGTGGTTGCAGGAGCGGGGAGAACACAGGTAACTCTCACACTTTCCTTTATGAGCCATTGACTTTCATGTGCAGACACCCAGACACTGAAAAAGGAAGGGATGGCCCACAAACATTGGTCTGGAATACTGAAAAGATGAAGGATTTTCACAGAGAAAATAGGTTCCAATTGCCACTGACTTGCTATCCTTTTTAATTTTGTTTCCTTTGTAAAAAAGAGGGATTTTTTTTTGATTTTTTTATTTTTGGAAGCAGATGATCCCTACAGCATCTTCCTGCTCCAAAATTCCATGTCTGCTCCATGAAGAAGTGGTACGCAGGCTCTCCTGGTTTGGAAGATGTGGGCAAAGAAGGCCACGGTCAAAAGAGCACTACACAGGGGCCAGCGCTGTGGTGTAGTAGGCTAAGTCTCTGCCTGCAGTTCCGGCATCCCATATGGGTGCCTATTCATGTCCCAGC